CAGATTATCGGTTCGACTTTGTCGTTCACCGGCTGAGACCCGCTGCTTTGGCCACCTTTGATATCTACAGGAACAGATATGGAATACCAGTAAAGATTTCCAGATATCCCTCATTGTTCAGCGATACCAAGACAACCCGGGTTCGGATGTAGGATTTCCAGAGCGTATAGATAGCTAAAAGGACCGAAGAAGCATATTGCGCAAAGGCGGGCTACCCGTATTCGGCAGGTTGGTGGGGTCGTACTTGTGAACTATTCAGAAGGTGGACAAATCATGTTTCAGTCCTCGACCTTGATGAGGCCGTGAGATTTCGGATGCAGAGAATCGTAACGTTATTGAACGATGCCCGTACGCGCGGACGCCAATGGCTTTTGTCTAGCTGTCCAGCGGTGCGATGGGTGTCATTTACCATCCGGGGATGCATGTTCGGAGCAGCAGCATCCGCCTGGGTAAGTCAAGCCAAGCGGTGTCTCCACCTCGGTTGGCAACCGAGGCGGCTCGCATGAAGGAAGGTCTTGTCCCGTGCAAAGAGGCAACGCGTGCCGACGTGCACGTTGCGACAATTATTTACGATCGTGCTTCTCCTTCGACCGTTTTCAACGGTTCGACTATGAGGTTTTAGTTGCAGACCCTGAAAGATGGAGTCGCCAGACAGAATCGAGCCCGACACACCGTCAGCTCAACCGCCCAGTCGGATAGAGACCGACCAAAACTTACCTACACCTGCAGCGCCGTCTGACGACCGAGACTCCACCAATGCATCCCACCACGACGACCATGGCATTTCATTGCGCGAAGTCGGTCCTGTATCTGTGCGACTTGAACATCTTACAGTTTCAGTCGACGAGTCGCCAAATGCCGTTGCACGCCTCTTCTCCAAAAAGAAACCACTGGGCGACCAAACCCATGTCAAGACTATCCTGGACGATATCTCGGCAGACATGCCGTCTGGCAGCCTTACTGCCATCATAGGAGGGAGTGGCAGTGGAAAGACATCGCTGTTGAATTCTATGAGTGGGCGCTTAGCCATGGGAAGCAGATTGGCCACTTCGGGCCGTACGCTGTTCAATGGCAGCGAAGACATGTCGCATATCAAAAGCGCATACGTTATCCAGCAAGACATACTCCTTCCAACTCTGACGGTCCGAGAAACACTCATGTACGCCGCGCAGTTGCGTCTGCCATCATCTGTAACCCAAGCTGAACGGAAACGGCTCGTTGAAGAGGTCATTCTCGAGTTGAGCTTGAAAGAAGCAGCTGATACAAGGATTGGCAACCATGCACACAAGGGGTGCTCAGGTGGAGAGAAGAGAAGGACGAGCATTGGGGTGCAACTCCTATCGAATCCCTCGCTGTTATGGCTAGACGAGCCCACTACTGGATTGGATTCGACGAGCGCTTTCCAGGTTATCAAGACCCTGCAGACACTGGCAAGAAAAGGGAGGACCATAATCGTTACAATTCATCAGCCGCGTTCCGAGATATGGGATCTATTCGACAACGTCATTCTTTTGTCGAGAGGCAAACCTGCATATGCTGGTAGTGCAAAGGAATGCCTACCCTACTTTGCAAAACTGGGTCACGAAATGCCACCATTCACTAATCCAGCAGAGTATCTGATTGATATTGTGAGTATTGACAACCGCAGCGCAGAAGCTGAACTTGCGGCCCAGGAACGGGTCGGCCGTGTGATAGAGGCGTGGAGAGTACATTGTAATAGTAACCCTAATGAGAAGGATGGAGCTGGCACATTGAGTGCTTCAGTTACAAAATCCTTGACGAGGGATAAGCGAGATAATCGCACATCACTCATCCAACAGACTCGTGTACTTACCGCAAGGACTTGGACCGTGACCATTCGTGACCCCATGGGTGAGTAACATCCCAAACAACAAGCACATCAAAGCACCACTAACAAGAATGTCTTCAGGTATGTTCGGCAGTTTAGTCGAAGCCATTGGTATGGCCGTAATCACAGGCTGGATCTTCCTGCAGCTCGATGGCTCCTTGACAGGTATACGGTCTCGTCAAGGAGCGCTCTATAATGCAGCTGCGCTTCAGGGATATCTCATTCTCCTCTATGAGACATATCGACTTACTACCGACATCCAACTATTCGACGAAGAAGCGCGACAAGGCGTTGTCAGCATACCAGCCTTTCTCATCTCCAGAAGGTTGGCCAGAATCTTTATCGAGGACATTCCCGTTCCTCTCATCTTCTCCCTGATCTACTACTTCTTTTGTGGATTCCGCACCCATGGAGGCCAATTTCTTACCTTTTTCGGTATAATACTGCTACACCAGTACATCGCTGTATGTTTCGCCATGACTTGCGTTGCAGTCTCGAGGAACTTTGCTGGTGCAAGTCTGGTCGCCAACCTGGCATACACTCTGCAGTCCATGGCCTGTGGTTACTTCATCCAGTCAAACACCATTCCCATCTATGTACGCTGGACCAAATGGATTGCATACGTCTTTTACGCTTTTGGGGCTCTGTGCGCCAATGAGTTTAGCGGCCATTTCTACGATTGTCCACTCGAGGGCGGACGATCGAATCCTGATTGCAAAGAATACGATGGCGAATTCATCATGGATTCGCTCGGCTTTCCAAACAATTGGATCTGGAGGCCCATACTTGCGCTTCTTGGTTTCGCAATTGCCTTTTACGTTGGTGCTGGTGTGCTGCTTAAGTTCTGGAACGCTGAGATTGCTATGGCGCGCGCAAGACCGACCAACACGGACGCTTCTGCTGGCAAAGAGAAGATGAATGCGCGACCACCCGAGAACGTAAGGACTATTGATATCAGGTTGGAAAACTACGGACTGGACGTCGAGAAGCGTTCACTGCGGAAAAGATCCACAAAGACTATTCTAAACCCAATCACAGCAGACTTCCGACCCGGTTCGCTCAATGTGATCATGGGACCATCAGGCTCCGGAAAGACGTCTCTGCTGAATAGTATGGCCATGCGACTCAAGGACAATACCGGAACGCGATATAAGCAGTATGGATCTATGACTTACAACGGGCTAATACCTGCACGGGAAGTCGTCAATTCAATTTGCTCCTTTGTTACACAGGATGACGACGCACTTCTTGCCTCGCTTACTGTACGTGAGACTCTACGTTATGCAGCTGGATTGCGTTTACCAAAGTGGATGTCTAAAGAGCAAAAGATTCAAAAGGCCGAAGAGATTCTCCTAAAGATGGGTCTCAAGGATTGCGCTGACAACCTCATTGGTAACGATCTCGTCAAAGGCGTCAGTGGTGGTGAGAAGCGTCGTGTTACGATCGCTGTGCAGATTCTTACGGAGCCACGGGTGCTTTTACTCGATGAGCCATTATCTGGACTTGATGCATTCACGGCTCTCTCTATTATGGACGTCCTCCGCGGATTAGCACAAGAAGGCCGCACGCTCATAGTAACTATCCACCAGCCACGCAGCGACCTGTTCAGTCACTTTGGAAATGTTCTTCTCTTAGCTCGCGGTGGACATCCAATCTACACAGGGCACTCAACGGACATGTTACCTCACTTTGCAGGCTTAGGCTATGAATGTCCAGAGCATGTCAATCCCGCTGATTTCGCGCTCGACCTGATAACAGTTGACCTCCAGCACGAAACACGCGAGGCCGCCAGTAGGAAGAAAGTGCGCAAGCTCATCCAGTCATGGAATCCTGATGCCTTCCCCCTTGCTCGTACTGGCTCGATTACAACACCCGCAGAACTAGGTAGCATGGCACGAGAGCCTTCGTCATTCTTTTCGGCATACTCAATCTTGATCCGCCGGTCGACGAAGAATATGTTTCGCCAGCCAGACATTATCATCGCGCGAATCATGCAAATTTTCGGTCTGGGTATCGTGCTTGCACTCTACTTCTCTCCACTAAAGACTGATTACTTCTCTGTGCAAAACAGACTTGGATTCCTGGTCGAAATTGCGCCACTCTATTTCGTCGGCAGTAAGTGCCTCTCTACGCAATAACCTTGAGCTGTGCTAATGTCATGCAGTGCTGAACAATATCGCTGTCTATCCAACTGAGCGAGACGTGTTCTATCGAGACTACGATGACCGCGTCTACGGCGTGGAAGCATTTTTCCTCACATACATCACCACCACGACGCCCTTTGAAATCATCGGCTGTCTTATGTTCTCGGTCCTCGCTGTGTTCGCTGTCGGTCTAGAACGCAATGCGAAAACATACTTCATCATAACCTACAACGCGTTTTGCATTACCAGCTGTGGCGAGAGTTTGGGCATTGCGTTCAACACACTATTTACGCATACTGGATTCTCGGTCAACTGCATGTCTGTCTTCCTCAGTGTCGCACAAGTCATGGGAGGCGTTCTTTCGCTCGACATCCCTGATTTCCTGCAAGCCTGGAACCACCTCTCGCCTGTCAAGTGGGCTGTCGGCAACATGGCACCGTTTACTCTACACGGATTAAAGTTTACCTGTGAATATTGGCAGCGCGTCAACGGACAGTGTCCTATTCAGACCGGAGAACAAGTACTTGACTTGTACCGGCTGAATAAGAATGCGAATATGAACCTCATGGCTCTAGGTATCTGCGCAATCGTGTATCGCTTCCTTGCATATGTTGTGCTGAAGATGGTCAAGGAAAGGTGGATAGGCAAACTGTGGAGGAAGATGGGCGGTGGCAAGAAGAAGTATACAGCTGAAATTACGCGTGAGGCAAATACACCTACACCTGCGTAAAGTAGCAAATGACCGACAAGAAGATTGTAAATATTCAAACTATTCAAATTGCATCTCTACCTTGGTGCAGCTGACCAGAACAAACCTAGACTTCCAAGCTTTCAAGATGAAATTCGTAATAATGTAACCCCAAACCTCAGGTAGCCATAATATACACAAAGGTGGTATCCGCGTACAAACAAAAAGTAGTGACACCACGGTAAATCCCAATCGCCCCGAAAATGAACAAGAGAATTCACACTAAACACCCTTGCCCTGCACGTGTGTAATACCGCGATTAGACCCTATGACCCCACAGATGCAGCGAATTCCCGCCAACCCTGTTCCTTGTATTATCCCAGCCGGCATCCTTCAGCGTCAGCACCTTAGACACAGCATCATTATACCTAAACGTCTGGCCCTTTTCCCACAGCCCATTCCCCAGCTCAATGCACTCAGTAACAGCGGTGCCCTCGAGCTCCTCATCGGGAACTCCATCATGGCAAATCTGAATGAGGCGATTTAGCCCAGTCGTACTAGCCGCGGCGAGCTGCTCAATTCCAAACGACGCGCCAGGCGACAACCACGGACAAACATTGCCCGTGATGCGCATGAAAATCGTGTGCTCGGCCGACTCAACGAGCATGACTCCTGGAGGAATGCCGCCGGCAATCTGCGATACATCTGCCTGTGCAGGCTGGGCGTGATGGCCGTTATTTGCATCGTGGAAGAGCGGCGCGGGACGATGATGCTGTGTCGCTGCTCCAGCACCCATTATGTTCATTAGCGGAGGTACTACTCCTGCGACGACGCCGGCGGCAGCAGGAACGTTTCCAAACGCCAACCCACCGGCGGCGGCGGGACTCCAAAGAGGCGCGGGCGCGGCAAAAGGCTGTAGCACACCTGCCATGGCGCCGGGCGGCGGCGGCGGAAAAGCTACGCCTGTGGCGTGCAGACCGAAACCTATGCCGTACTGAGCGTTGGGAAGGAAGTTGCCGGTGCGTATGGGGGCGAGGGGGCCGCCGCCTGGTGGTGGTATAGCAAAACCACCGAGTAGGAAGGGATCCATGAGGCCCAGGGGATGAGGGAGGACGGGTGGAAACGCACCTATGCCTGTGCCGAGGGGAGGGGCAATGCCTATGGGTAAGGGAGGCCCGTAGATGGGGTTATGCTGGTGGTGTTGTTGCTCGACGACTACTTGGGGTGGTCCTGCTACTGCTGCTGCTGAGCCCGGAGCGGCTGCAGGTACCGCTGCAGGAGGAGCCTGGGGAATGGGATCCCCAAAGCCGTGAATCGGGGGTGGTGGGGGGTCGCGATTGATGTTGGGGTTTTTGCCGACGTTGACAGACCAGGGGTGGCCTGGTGGAGGGCCGGCTGACATTGAACGATGAGACGGGACTAGGGGTCTAGTCGATGAGGCTGATGCTTAGAGTAACGTCTTGGTGAGATGGGCTAGAATGGCATTTGCGTATGTTGTTGTTCGGAGGCAGGGGGCTTCTTTCCTTCTGGCCTGCTGGGTGCGAAGACAGAATGAAGAATACGAGGAAGGATCATGGTGTCGTTCTACTGATAAATACATGTCAGCGTTGAGTGTGCGTTGGTGGTAGTTGCGATATGTGAAGATGGAGGTGACGATTTGGGCGAACACCCTGCAATTCACATTGCACTGTTTTTTTTTGAATGGGCATCGCCCTTTGTAAGGGTTAGTGTGTTGTGTAGAAAAAGTATGTTTGGAAGACGAACACGTCCATGCGCTGACGCTGGGTTTCCCTATCAAACAAACGACCTTAGAACCGCTAACATCTCTTGAATGTAGTGCATGAAATGAAGGATCGATGCACAGGCTAGAGTAATAATTTACAGTTTAGGCGAGTAGCTTGTGTGACCGTGTGTAACGGTAGTCTTCCTAGACCGGAAACCTGTCAGTGATGGAAACTATACATGCGGGCTAGAACGTTTGGCATAAATTCACTTGTAGACCGGGTCATGCACTATCATACAGTCCGACTGAAAGAAGGATATCGTGATAAGGGTTGAATTGAACTAAGGGTATAGATGTATATACATCGAAATGATATGCAACAGAGGTATATACAGTGAAGTGAAATCGAACCTCTAGTTCGAAACAAGACCAGCGGGGAAACAAAGTACCCGGGTCATCGTAGCGTCCGCTCAATGGCGTGTCGCGTGCCATTCAGCACACTTAGAAGGTAGCGACCTTGGGGCCGGGAACAACGTAGCTCTTGAAGTTGCTGTAGATGTTGGCAGTGTAGCCAGAGTCGGTGGACTTGACGTGTCCGGGGATCTTGGTGGTGGGAGAGGGGTTGCCGCTGCCGCCACCAGTGACCTTGATTTGTGCGCAAGAGATGTAGAATTGTGGCGGGCTACCGGGGTTGTGGATACCGAGCTGCTCGATACGGAGGAGGTACTCTCCAGCAGCGACCTGGGAGGGGATGGTGACGGAGTAGGTGGCTGTGGTCATGTTAAAAAGGGGTTCCGAGGAGATGTAGATGCACATTTAACTTACTGCTCAAGTCCCACACGGCCTGTCCACTGGAGAAGTTGGGGCCAATCTCCTTGATCTTGAACCAGTCACCGGAACCATCTGAAGAGGCGGCAGAGCTGGCCTTGCTCATGTAGAAGGAAACTGGTCCTTGGTGGTAGACAGCCTGATCGGCAGTGAAGCTGACGGTCGAGCCAGCAGCAACGGACACAGTGGTGGTTCCACTGCCGCTGTTTCCGTTGGTGTTGCAGCGGAGGTTCTTGTCCGACAGGTCGGTGACAGGGCTGTTGTTGGGCACAGGCCTGATGTTCTGGAACAGACCTCCCTTGACGCCGTTGGCAGTCAGGGTCTGGAAGATGTCTTTGGGTCTGTTAGCAGATGTCTCATCTTACACAGCAGTGTATCCTACAGTGAGCCTGAGCAACCTCAGCGAGAGCCGCAAGGGCTACAGTGGCAACAGTGAAGCACTTCATGATTAAAGTTGGAGAATGAGAGTTTGGTGAAGTGGGTAATGAATGGACTGAATGTGCTGATGATGTTGGATGAGAATGCAAGGCGAACATGCACTGATCTTATATACATTTCTTCACCTACTCAAGGGCTTTGTATCCTATATTGCGCGATTCCGCACATTTCCAAGCCAGTACAACCTTCAGGCTTGATTGGGCCAGCGGTGAAACTCGAAATGAAAGCGCGTCACAGGACTTCCATAATGGGCTTCTCCGTACTGGTAGCGAAGCCGGGACATGAGGCAGACTGTGGATACTCACTGCCGGTGGCGGTTAGCCGAGACGCCTTCAAGAGACAACCTGGTGACACAAGGTCAGGGACACCGTGTGACCTCACAGAAAGCAATATTGCGAATATAGTACTTAGTAATCTATGATGAACAGCCTATGGACATGAACGTGTCAGAGGTGATAACTGAGCGAATAGAAATGGGCAACCTTGTAAACAGTAGTGGGTCTGTGGAGATGGCAAAACCGGATTGGCGCCCATGTGGAACTGAACAATGCCAAATGTTCAAGATATATTAATATGTGGGTTAATATGTTTAGATTGTCATGGATCCAGCTAATGCGGACCTGTCGAACCGGTCGAAGGAAAAAGGAAACAACACCGTTTTCTGAATCGCCCAGCCTTGCGTTTGGAGTCGTGTGCATACTACGCCATCATGTGTAGTTGATGGCCGAGTGTTTGAGAACGCATCCTGTGCACGGATGCCGAGTCAGTGACGCCCTGGTGTGTCCAGAGTTCTCGTCATAGAACCCGACACCAAACGACGCAAAGAGGTATCGTAGAGTTACATCGGATATGAAGATAATGCAGGTGGCTCCGCGCCGTTTTTGGTCTTTTCAGAAATACTTCGAACTCCGTGAAGGCATGTCGACTGTGATTGTCGTTTTGGCGATCGACCCGGTTCCAGCTTTCTTGGTGTTTCAGGACACTGGTTGTGGACGTTCTAGAAATTAGGAAGGAAAATCGAGATCTGCAACGGTTGGACGCCTGTCGCACGCCACTGAGGGATACATACATAGTCGTGCATGCCCGCGGCGTATTCAAAGGAACGGCTCTGAACACTGGTGTTTTGAGACAGTCCGCAACGCACAACACTGCCCAGTCGATATTCGTCGCATTTCAGTCGTACATACAAGATGTGGTCCGAGTCCTTATCCTGATTATTGGAAGCGTGACATCGAGGCTGCTAAAAGAAGAGTGGAAAACAACGAGTTGTTCCTGCCCACGAGAGGCATCTTTGGCAGACGCACTGTCGCAGACGGCATTGTGTTATCGTAAGTAGAGGTTCAAAGTTGGTAGATGCGGATAGCGATGGCACATGGCGAATGGTTGAGGCAGTGTGACCCAGTCCTCGGAAAGGACAGGCAGGAGCGGGGTAGAGGGTGCACGTGATTCGTCACTTTGACTTCTCGCCTCGATATTCAGACGTCTACTACCAATCTAGCAAGTCCTCGCGGCAGTCTGCAGAGTGGGGTAGAGAGTGCACGTGATTCGTCACTTACACTTCCCGCCTCGATATTCAGACGTCTACTATCAATCTGGCAAGTCCTCGCGGCAGTCTGCAGAGCACAGATAGGTAATCCACTTGCTTATCATATAAAGACGGTGTGTTAGGTACAACGTATTTACCGCTCGCAGTAGCATGCTTCCTTTCTAAAACCTCTCCTCCAACCTTCAACTCTGAAATCTTGGAAGCTAACATTGTGTTTGCGCTACAATATATTCAATCAATATGTCTGGAGAACACGCCACCACTACGGCGCCTTGGCACCCTCTTGCTCCGTTGACCGCAGCAGAACTTCAGAAGGCTGCGGGGATCATCAAGGCATCCTGGCCGGCACATACGGACTTGCACTTCAAGGTCGTTACATTGCAAGAGCCACCGAAGACCGAAGTCCTAAAGTACCTGGAGGCTGAGCACGGTGGTAAGCTATTGCCGTCTATTCCGAGAAAGGCATTTGTCAACTACTACATCCGCAATACCGTATGTCGCGCATCGTCCGTGCTTTGCAGAATTAGGTATATGTGGCTAACTATTAATCAAAGAGTAAATTCCACGAGGCGATTGTCGATTTGACATCGGGCCGGATCGAGCGCAATCTTCTCCTAGGACCCTTCAGTCATGCCAACGGAGATAGCGAAGAGGTTATTGCAATTGAAAAGGTTGCGCTTGCAGACGAGAAAGTACAAGCCGAAATTGCCAAACTCGAACTTCCAGAAGGCACAGTAGTTATCAGCGATCCCTGGATATACGGTTCCGATGGCACTGGTGACGAAGCCAGATTCTACCGATGCTTTCTCTATCTGAGGGACCCGATGAACTCGTCCGAGGCAGATTCAAATCACTATGCCATGCCGTTGCCGATTTCCCCCGTAGTTAGCACGGTGACGATGACGGTCATTGGCATCGACTTGCTGCCTACTGGCGCAGACAATACTATCAAGCCGGTGGGCAAGTACAAAATACAACCACCCAATGAGTACATTCCGGAGGCGCAGAAGCTGCGAACGGATCTCAAGCCTCTGAATGTTATCCAGCCTGAAGGCGCTAGCTTTCAGGTTCAACAACAGGGAACGTCGAGTGTCATCTCATGGCAGAAGTGGCAGTTCAGGGTCGGCTTCAACCAGCGTGAGGGTATGGTACTCTATGATGTTCGATACGACAACCGTAGCCTCTTCTACAGGCTTAGTCTGAGCGACATGAATATTCCATACGCAGACCCACGCCCCCCATACCACAAGAAGAGCGCTTTCGACTTGGGCGATGCTGGTGCTGGTATCATGGCGAACAATCTGAAACTTGGCTGCGATTGCCTGGGCTCGATTTATTACCTGAACTCTGTCTTGTCAGATGACAAGGGCGGTGTCATTGATATGCCGAATGTAGTATGCATCCACGAGCAAGATGCAGGAATTGGCTTCAAGCACACCAACTACCGCACCGGCCGCGCAGTCGTCGCTCGAAGCCGAGAGCTAGTACTCCAGAGCATCATTACCGTAAGCAACTACGAGTACATTCTGGCCTTCATCTTCAATCAGGCTGGAGAGATCAGTTACGAGATCAGAGCAACTGGTATTCTTAGCACACAGCCTATTGACGAGGGCGTTGAGGTACCATTCGGTACCGTTGTACACCCTGGCGTGCTTGCGGCTCACCACCAGCATATCTTCTCGTTGCGTGTCGACCCTATGATTGACGGTTACAATAATCGTTTAGTGTACGACGAAGCCTTTCCTATGCCCCGATCAGACTTCAACCCCCACGGGACAGGTTACTACGTCCAGGAGACAGTTGTTGAGAAGTCTGGCGGTTACGACATTGCCTACGAGAACAACCGCACCTTCAAAATCCAGAACCCGAATGTGCGAAACCCGGTCAATGGAAAGGCAGTTGCATACAAGATCCAGGCACCTCCATTCCAGAAACTCTTGTCGGACAAGGACAGCTTCAACTACAAGCGTGCCGAGTTTGCCGACCACAACATCTACGTCGTCAAGCACAAGGACGGTGAGCTGTATGCTGGCGGCACATACACCAACCAGTCAAGGGGAGGAACTGGTGTGCGTTCGTGGGCAGAGAGGAACGACAGCGTCAAGGATACCGACTTGGTGGTATACATTCAAGCAGGCATTAATCACGTACCCAGGATCGAAGACTTTCCTGTTATGCCTTGTGAAATTCTGAAGATTCACCTGAAGCCAGTCAACTTTTTCGACAAGAACCCAGCACTGGACGTGCCACCAAGCGAGCAGGCGTTCAACAAGAGCAGCCTGCTGAGCGAGCAGCACCAGCAGCCGAGCGTGACTGCGACTGTGGGCAAGGACGGCCAATGCTGCGCACCACAGAGTGCGAAGTTGTAGGATGTTTAGGATACTAGATGACGAAAGAGCCTGTTATGAACCTCGGGTCAAGATTGTAAAATAGTAGTGCTATATAGAAATGGATATGACTAGAAATGATGCGAATTGCTTAGGCCGTGTGAATGTTGGCAAGGGTTGGTGAGAGGAGCAGGGCTGAATCGCGTGGCCGCGGTCCGACGCGCCAAGCCCTGGGCCTAGTTCCGTAGCTCGAAGGCCATGGGTGTTCAAAGAAACGTGAACTACCTTTGTCCTTCAAACATCCACACACCTACTTCACGCCCACATTTACATACTCTCCTACCCCGCATCCTATACCTGGTGACCAGATTCAAGGCATTATGGCGCCCAACGACAAGGCGGGTCGAGTGGTTTTCATAGGAAATATTCCATATGGTATGGGACACTGCGGCTTCAACGCGCAGGCGCGCTGCTAACATGGTTAACCAGGTGGAACCGAAGAGCTTATTGTTGAAACTCTCGGTCGCGTTGGACAGGTTAACAACTTTCGGCTGGTGTATGACAAGGAAACGGGACGACCCAAAGGCTTCGGCTTCGCAGAGTTCGCCGACGCGGACGCAGCAGCTTCGGCGGTGCGCAACCTCAACGACTACGATCTGATGGGGCGCAAACTGAGGGTCGACTGGTCCAACGAGAGTGGCTCTGGCGATAACGCGCCCTCGAGCCGCGACCCGAACACGCAGGCACCCATGGGCATGAACGGCCAGCCAGCCGCAGTACCTCCCCCAGCGCAGCCATCGAGCACACTGGGTCCTCTGCCGCCAGGTGTCGAGTTACCGCCCAACCTCACATGCCCCGACGCCATTTCGCGCACGCTGTCTACACTTCCCCCGGACCAGCTGCTTGACATTCTCTCACAAATGAAGGGGCTTGTTATGACGGACCCAGCCAAGGCGACGGAGCTACTGCGACAGGCACCGCAGCTAGCGTATGCCATTTTCCAGTCGCTCCTGCTCCTGCAGCTAGTTGACCCGCAGATTCTCACGTCGCTCGTGGAGACATCGGCGGCTCCCGCCCCAGTGGCGCAGGCGCCGCCTGTTCAGCCAGTGCAGCAAGCTCCACCACAAGTAGCGCGACCGCCTGTGAACTATGGTGGATATCCGCCCCAGGTTGCGCCCACACCTCCACAACCCCAAGCGCCCACTCCGCAGCCCTACGCACAAGCTCCACAGCCAGCTCCGCAAGCACAACCTGCGGCCCTGGACCAGCAAGCGTTGTATGCGCAGGTCATGGCCCTTACACCGCAGCAGATCGACCAGCTGACGCCCGAGTACCGAGCGCAGATTATGCAGATACGGCAGATGCTTATGGCAGGAGGACGTCCGTAGGCAGGGTGTTTTGAAAGAAGCAAGAGATGGAACTTTGTGTTGTTTAAAGGGGCCGCGGACTTTGCGGGCGGATGAGTAGAGGATGTATAATGCATAAATACATACATGGACACTAGTATGGGCAAGCAAAAGGAGGGTCAAAGCCCCCCAGATGTGGTTTGGGAGCTTTGTGGAGGCATGCTACCTATGTAGTACGCAAACGGCAGGGTACGGGGGTGTTGAAGCAAGCAAGAAGCATTGGAGAGCGGCTTGTACACGTCAAGTGGTGGAAGGGGGAGTTGGGTGAGGAAACCGAGCCAAAGGCAGGCGTGGGACGAGTGAGGCAACAGACGGCACGACTCAGCACGTCACGGCACGAGGATAAGATGGTGGTGGGGGTTCCTTGGGCCGCAATTGCACCGGACACTGGGCGCATATTTTTTTCTTTTCTAGGCAGGGTAGGCTGCGCCCTTTGGGGCGGACTTTATTAGTTTCAGACTTGATACCCGATGGAGAAGGCACAGTAGTGGAAGAATAAAAAAAAAGACTGAGCTAATGAGCAAAAAAAAAGGCAGTGGACGCGGCTACTTGTTTTGTTTTATTGTTGCGACGCGAACTTGGCGGCGCATTAGCTCTGATGGAACAGGTGGGACCGTTTAGGCTTGGTGGGAGTGGGCATGGGCATGGGCTAGTGGTCGAACAAGAGGCCAATGCGTGTGGTGGACGGGGAAGATTTGCAGAGTGCAGGTGGGCGTGAGAGGGCTACCGATGGATGGGCGGCGGGCATGGATATCATCAGCGTCATGAGCATGCGCACATGGGCAGCTGCTTGGCACGGTCTTTTGGGGTGACACACGGACGGACAGGCTGTATGTACGCACACACATATAGTAAGTATGGAGACGACGTGGTGGCCGTTGACGCGCCCGTAATGTGTGTGGTGCGACAGTGCCAGCTGCCAGTAGTCCATCATCGCCAGTCGTCAATCGCCAGCCGCCCTCCGCCCTCCGCCCTCGGCCAGCATACGAGCAATGCACCATCTGCACGGCCATGGACCGACGCAAGCAAGACGGGGCGTGGAGATGAGGGCCCCAGCATGCCATCGGCAGCCATGCCCACACACACACGCAGACTGAGCTACTACTACGCATACGTATGATCCGCACGAAGGAGCATTTGCCATAGCGGGAGCCCATTGGCCCAGCCTTGCCTCGCCTCCAGTCGTGCATCGAGGCTAACCCTTGCCGCCAGCTCACTCTCGGCTGGCTGCCGGGGCTTCTCTGCCAGGCTAACAGGCTAAGAGCAAGCACCTCAGCTGCCTCCTACCTCACCATCGTTGGCGACCACGACGCCGAGCGGCTGCTCTGCTTTCTGTCGTCTGGCATTGCGCCTCTCTCCCGCTGGCCTGTCTGCTGCAGCCTGCCCCGTGTAACACTACCATCACGATATGACGATTTGAACGATTCATCTCATCTTTCTCCCTCTCTCTCTTACCTGCCATCTACAGCGATATACCCAGCAGCGCCCGCCTAGAGCTCCATCTCGTTTGCGCCCAACCCATTGCCCACCCGCCCTCCTAATAACCACCCACCCGCATCCTCTGCGCTCACATCGTCACCATGTGGAGCAGGCTGACGGGCTCTTCGGGTGCCTCGCAGTCGCCAAAGGACGACGACGCTCGCCGCCGCCGCACCACCACCAGCGACTCTACGCGTTCTAAGCGCGACCGGGATCGAGATCCAGATACCCGCTCCGTCGTCTCCTCAACATCCACCCGCAAGCCCTCGGTCTCTCGACGCGACACTGCGCCCTCGTCGACGGCCTCCTTCACCACTGCATTTGACGACATTCCGCGCTCACGGGCTGCACCAAACACTGACCCAAACAGCGACTACGACAGGCGTCGCGACGACCGCCGCAGCAGCTACGCAGAGTCTTCAACATCCACCATGCGCGACGACAGAGACAAGAAGAAAAAGTCAAAGGATAGCAAGTCAGACAAGCGCCGCTCGACGCGCTCAGAGCAGTCGGCTAGCGTGACGCAGACGGGCGGCTACCGGGGCGACATTGTTGACAGCCCCAAGTCACTCCAACGCAGCTACAGCGAACAGATGGGCAGCGACGGCCTTTCGCGCTTCCCCGGCCAGGCAGGAGCGCCCATGATGTCGGGCGCTCTCCCCGTGGGAACCAATGGCCCCCAATCATCATCATCACAATACCAAAACCAACAACAACAACAACAAGGCCACCACTATTCAGATCACGTGCAGAGCCAGTTCCCCGGCCAGGATCCTGTAAACTATGCCTCTAGTGCAATGCCTGGCGGCCATCCCTTTGGCGCGGCTGCCGAATTCTACAACGACCAGGGCCAGTCTGTTGGTCAACAGCCCGGCGTGAGGCCCCAGCCCCCATCTGTCATTGTCGGCCAGGATACACCTCATCTCATGTCTGCTTCTGCCCAGCCCAACCCCGTTGCCGACACCGGCTCGGGCGCGGCTGCAGACTTCTATGCCCAAGGCCCTAGCACCTCTTCATCCAGGCCTCCACGACCGTTGAGCTCATCCATGCCTGGTGCCTTCGTCGACGACACACCTGCCCCGCCGAAGCCGCCCCGGCCGGCGTCGTCGTCGAGACCTGACAAGCCAGGCACCTTTGGTACAGCTGCTTCAATGGCCAGTGCTGCTGCCTTTGGATATGCCGCTGGCCATAGTTCTTCTAGTCATGAGCACTCGGCAAGCTACAGCAGCTCGTCGAATGTTCGTCCCCCTTCATCATTCTCGTCATACACTAATACTGCCCCTGCTGCCCCTGCATCTACTTATAACATGTATGGAAACGGCCCTAATACCTCTAATGCTAACGCCAGCAATGGCAACCATCTTCCGTCATACCCCGCAGCCGCTCATGCCAACGATGACATTCCTCCACCCAAGCCTCCGCGACCAAGTAAGCCCGAAAAACACTCGTCTGGCAGCAACGCTGGACTCCTTGCTGCTGGGGCTGCGGGGCTAGCGGCATATACTATGCATCAACACAATTCAAGCACGCACGAACACTCCCATTCACACACTCATACACATTCACATTCGCATGGCACCTCACAACATCACTCGGCTTCTGGCGCTTCCAATGGTCACCAAAACAACGGCCTTTTACCAAGTGCCTACGTCTCGGGCGGCATGGCCCAGCATCACCAGCATACCGGTCCCGTTTCCCGGTTCGTGGATTGGTGGAAGGACTATGAGGATGTGCAGAAGATGGAGGAGTACACCGAGTACATTGGTGTCTGTAAAGGATGTTTTGACCCGCGTTCCTCCGTTCTCGATGCCCCTCGAAAGCACCACTACTACAAACGACGTTCCAACGAATTCATGCGGCCTTCAGGAGGCATTGAAAAGCAATCTCGTTACAACTTGAAGGAGAAGAGGTCACAAAACTCTATTTCGGGTGAGGAAAGACGCAAGACGAGCAACAGCGCTGCAGGTTGGATGGCTGCAGGACTGGGAGGCCTCGGCCTTGCCAAAGCTGGAAAGGCTGTATGGAACAATGCTCGGGACGATTTCGACGATACCTACAGCATCAAGTCTGGACGCTCGCGTGTGTCACGTCGTAGCAGTAGCCGATCCCTTGATCGCAAGGGCTATAGCTACGGTTATGCAGGTGTTCGCCACAGGAGTCGATCTGGTGATCGCATGTCCAACATGTCTGTAGGTGTTACGAGTGACAGGAAGGACCGCAAGGCCCACAAGAGTCGCCGACATTCCAGAGCAAGCTCCAGCTCCAGTTCCAGTTCTGACAATGGCAAGTCTGGCCTGATTGGTGCTGCTATTGGTGCAGGTCTTGCGGGAGCTGCTTTGGGAGCTTCCGCAAGCAAGAAGCGTCACGCCCGCTCCAAGTCACCCAAGAGGGTTCAAGTTGTGCATCCCCGCCGAGATAGCAACGATGATGACCGAAGTAGAAGATCTCAACAACTCCGACACAAGGTATCCCGGAGCTCGACTTCTGGAGCGTCCGTCATTGAGATTGGCCAAAACCACGAACATGAAGGCGGCTTCTTCCAAGGCTTCTTCGCAGCTCCTCCACCAAAGGAGAAACGTGTGAAGCCGGCTAGTCTTAAGAAAAAGAAGGGCGGCTTTTTCAACTTCACCAACGCTTCAACATCTTCAACCGACTCGGATATGGCCTTTGGCACCGGCTATGTGAGGAGACGGAGGCGATCGTCTCACAGCAGACGTCCGTCACCAAAGAGGCGCAACTCGGACGAGCGACTCAAAGCTTCTCTCATTGGTCTTGGTGCTACTGCAGCAGCCATCACAGCAGCAAAGGCTGGCAAAGGAAAACGCAGTCGTGACGTTAGCGTCGTCAAGGAAAACCGCAAAACCCTCAGGGATAGCCAGTCTTCTCGCACTGGTTCACGTTTCGGAGATGATGAGTGGGAGGACCTGCCAGATGATGGCCCCTCTGACTCTGCAAGTGATGGCGGTCTTGTCTACGGTGAACATGTACTGAGGAAATCCAAGAGTAATGATTCTATGGACTCCAATGGCTCGGGTACCAACAAATGGGGTTGGCGTTGGGGATTCGGCAAGAAGAAGAGGAGATCGTCCAACAACCTCTATGACAATATCGCCAATACCTCGCTCATTGCACCTGCCGCAGCTGGTGCTGTGGGTGCTGCAGCAGGCGCAGCAGCTATTGGGGCGACTCAAGCGCGTCCTGATAGCCAGTCGAGCAGTGCGCAGACGCTGCAGTCAGTATATCCTGTTGCGCCTCACGACCCTAATGCATTCTTCGATGCACGACGTACAAGCTCTATCGCGACATCGCAGCCTTTAGTCACCTCGGGGCCTGGTTCTGTAAGCCTTCAGCAGCCCCAGCCCATGCATCAAGTCCACGGAACCGTCTATACCACCCAAGCACCACCACCGGCTAGTTACAATGCCCCTACGGGTCCTCCAGTCTTTTCGCAAGTGCCACCGCAGCCTCAAGCCCAGAACATCATCATTAACAACAACAACAACAATCAATTCCCGCAACAGCCTCCTCTTCGCCGAGCAAACTCTTCACCCATCCAGACGTCTTCATGGAGGCGAGATGCCGCTATTGCAGGACTTGCAGCCACAGCTGGAGCTGCTGCAATCTCTGCATTAAAATCCGATCGTCCACCCAGTGCATCCAGCAATGTGCGTTTCGATTTGACACAAGCACAGACCGAAAAGGAAATGCGTGAGCGACGCAGACAGCAGGAGCGAATCGAAGAAGAGGCTCAACGTAGACGTGAGCAGCAGGAACGAATTGAAGAGGAGGCTCAACGTCGACGCGAGCAACAGCGGCTCGATGACGAGGCAAGATGGGAAGAAGAGGAACTTGCCCGCCGAGAGCAGCAACGCCGGGATGATCAAGCACGACGACTAGAGACGGCACGTCGTGAAGAGGAAGAACGCGTGCGCCGGGAACACCAACGACAAGAAGAAGAAGCCCGCAAGGCGGAAGAAGAGCGGCGCCTAACACTGCTTCGTCTAGAGGAGTCGAAACGCGAGGAAGAAGAGCGCCGTTTGATCCTGCTCCGTCAAGAGGAAACAAAGCGTGAAGAAGAGGAGCGTCGTTTGACTCTACTTCGCCAAGAAGAAACAAGGCGTGAAGAAGAAGAGCGTCGTCTAGCTCTGCTTCGCCAAGAGGAGACGAAACGTGAAGAGGACGAACGTCGCCGTCGCGAACTACAACGCCAGCAAGACGAGGCACGAAAGTTCATGGAGATCGAGCGCTTGGCGAGACTTGAAAATGACCGTCGTCGTGACGAGCACGAGTTGGCAGCACGTCAACTGCGAGAGGCAGAGGAACGCGAACGTCAACAACGCTTGGCTTTCCTAGAGCACCAACGTCAGCTTGCTATCGAGGCCGCAGAGGAGGAGCGAGTTCGAAGAGAGCGTCGTGAGGCTCAGCAACAAGAGGCAGAGCGTATCGATGCTGCGAGACGTGAGGCTGAGATCCAGGAGGACCTGGAGCAACGACGCAGGGGGCGTGAGCTACAAGATTCTAGTAATCGATACCCAAGTGTTCAGGCCCGACAGCTGGAGGAACAACCTGCAGGTGGCTCAATCGCCTCGGCTGCGACTGTCGTACAACGCAAGGAAAAGGAACTGAAAGACAGAGAACGAGAAGCCCTCAAGCCAGAAAAGAAATCCTCTTCTGTTGCTAGTGCTGTTGCTGCTGGCGCCGCTGCAGCAATTGTAGGCGGTGCCATCTCCTCCTACAAAGACAAGAGCAAAGAGAAGGAGAAGGAGAAGAAGGAAAAGGAGCGCGAGCGAAAGCGTGACCGCAGCCACAAGCGCCAATCTTCTTCATCTTCGAAGAGCAGTGAATCCAAGCGCGGAAAGAAGCGAGAGCCGGCCAGTGTCAAAACGATTGAACCCAGCAGGGTTGAGCAAGACATGTTTGATGAAGACATCTTCAACCCAGATCTTTTCAAGGAGCCAGCCCGGCAGGATGCCCGCGAGGTCCTCCGAGATTGGGAAGACCGGTATTCTGCTAAACCCGTGTCCCAAGCCGAATTCTTTGCTCCCCGAGAGCTCTTGGCTGACGACAACCTGCCAAAGGTTAAACCTGTAGACCCTAATGAGGGTGCTGGCGATCTCCAGATGTACTATGCGCATGAAGATGCTCCTTCCGGCCAGCCAATCTTGCCTCCATACCCACCTTCTTACTCTTTCACTGCTACGAGAGATGGGCGACCGACCAAGCAACAGCCGCTACCGATACCAGTACTAAGCCTTACTATGCCTACACCTCCAGGTAGTCGCGCGCCATCTATGCGTAGTGTGTCGCCTTCTCCCGCCCCAACTAGGGAACCTACCAGGGATACGAGAGACGATTACAGGCAAGAAGACTCGAACCGCGCAAGGTCTAGGGTCAGCTGGGGGGAGAACCAATTCCACCACTTTGATGTGCCTACCCCCGAGTCTTTCCGCGAACAATTTGTCTCTGATGGCGATCTCAAGAGGCAGCAGCCAAACTACTCGTCTGATCAGATCACTGTAGAACGCGAAATACCTACGTCCACATACATACCTTATCAACCAGGCACCCCTTCGTCCAGCGAGTCGAAGGAGACCACTCCAAGCACACAATACGTCAGCGATGATAACAGCTCAACTTGGGATAGTGTCGTGAGTGCCTCTGCCTCTTCGAAGGCGAGCGAGAGGAATGAGAATACTCCATCGAACTCTGCCTCTGGATCTGCTGTTTCGAACGTCTCGGCACCCCCACCGCCCCCACCGCAGAATCAACAGGATGAGTACGATTACAAGCGCATCAATGCATCACTCCTGAGTAACCCATTTTCTGACACGAATATGGCACCTTCCACAATTGCTGCATCACTCATCTCAGCTCCGTCAGCCATCTCGGCTCCATCAATCATCTCAGCTGCGCCATCGACAAGCAGTGTACAGACGGCGTACTATCAACCTGAGCCAGCGTACGACATGCGCATGATGCCTGATAGGAGGACTGTGGGGCCTGGTTTTATCGAGGGCGAGATTCCGGACGACCCTGTGCCGTTGCATATCCCGGGCAGTTTTGAGGAGGCAGAAGAGTCCGAGCCACCGACACCTACGATGGAGAGTTTCGCAGCTGCAGCGAAGAAGGACACAAAGGGTAAGAGTACTGACTCGAATGTAGTTTTGCAGGATGTCCCTCGGCAGGTTGAGCCAGAGCCTTCCGTGGTTTCTAAGTTGTCAAAAGGGAAAGGGGTTGAATCAGACACCAAGTCGAGCAAGAAGGACAAGGAGAAAGACAAGGAAAAGAAGAAGAAGAAGAAGTCCTCCAAATCTTCGAAGCGAATCAGCGTTGATACTTGGGAGTTGGACGAACCTAGTCCACCGACAAGCCCTATCCTCGAACGTGACCCTCGAGATATCGAGCCATCAAGAGCTGTCGAGTCACCAAGAACTGTCGAGCCATCCCACTCTGGCGAGTCGTCACGGACAGCTGACCGTGGCCAAGACTATCAACCATCAAAAAGTGCATCTCGCAGCGATGAGGGTAGCAGTGCCAAGGTTTCCACCGCTGCCTTGGCCGGTGGTTTCGCTGCTCTGGTAGGCACTGCTATATCTCAAGACCGAGACAGGATGGCTTCCGAATCCGAACGTGCCAGGCGTAACCTGGAGTCGGCAGAGAAGCCCTCATCCCGTGACTCGCACTCGTCTTCATCCAACAGCAACCATGCTCCTGAAGATCCTGCAAAGAATGTTACCATTCCCAGCTACGCATTCGGGGGAGTGGATGAATTGGCCGACAAGACGCCTAAACGTAGGAGCGAGAAAAGGAGCAGTAGCAGCGGCAAGTGGTCACCATCAGTTGGATCGCCTCTGAGGACAGAGATGAAACAAGAAGACTATATGGGTGCTCGCAACAACTCTGATGGTTCCAAGTATCAGCCACTTGTTGAAGCGCCAAAAGTGCCTACTGCAGCTCCATTTACAGGCACATCCGATCCTACAACTTCCCGTAGTGTAGCTGACTCTGGCTACTATGCCCCTGACGATTTCACACACCCCGAATCCACCGAGAAGGAGCCTGACAAATCCTATTTCGCGGGCTCAAATGGCAATACCAGAGACAGTCAATCGCGCGTCTCAAATGCGGAAAGAATCAGACGTTCTGACGATGAGGACGACTACAGACGGCGCAACTCCTTCGACGACGACATTGGTTCGATCGCCTCGCTGAGCTACAAATACGAAGATCCCGACCGGGAAGAGCGACGCCGTAGACGTCGTGAAGCCAGATCTGAAACCCGTGACAAGAGTCGCGACAAGAGCCGCGACCGCGACTACGATGTGGGCGAAGGCGAAGAACGAAGGCGAAAACATCGCCGTCGCGAGACAGACGAGGGCGCTGACGATTGGGACACGCGATCTACATACTCGGAAGCTCGCTCTGACGTCAATGGCGAGCGCAGGCGTAGACATAAGAGGAAGGATTCATCGCCAGACAGGAAGACAAGGTCTCGCTCAGAAGCAGCGTCTGAACACGGTGACTTGTACGACGAGCCCAAATCTTCCCGCAGACGTTCTAGGCGGGAGGACGATGACACTGCTTCCTTGATATCTTCTTTTGCAGGATGGGATGACGACCGCAGCTCCCGAAAAGAGAAGGATAAACGATCAAGTGGTCTCATGGGTCTCTTCAGCAGCAAGTCAAGAGAAAACCTGGCGGAGGCTGCCAGCAAGTCTTCCAGGTCGAGAGATGACAACGATGAAGAGCGCAAGCACCGGAGACGGAGACATCGGTCAGATCGTGGTTCTACTTACGGTTCGGATGATGATGATGATGATGTACGTTCCACTATTTCAAGTACTAGCCGCCGCGAAAAGAGGAGCAGAAGCAGTCGCAGCGAGAGAGATGGAGACAGGGCGGATGCTTATGATGAAAAGGTACATCGCTCTTCTTATATGCGATAGCGCGAGTGTTCGCAATGTATTTAGAATGAATGTTGATGTTCTGTGCTATAGGATCGTTCCCGCGCTCGAACCCCGCCCCCGCATGCCGATGAACAAGAACGCCATTCTTTTTTAGACCATCGGGCAGTGGCCGCAGCAACTCCACGTCCACTGCCCGTAGGTGAGCCTGTAGATCAGGTACCCAAGGGTAGTGGCATCATCCCTGGAGATCGGGCCGAAATTCGTCTCCCAACGTTCGACGACGCCCAACCCCTCACCGCCTCCGACCTTACCGAACGGCCCAGGACACCGCCTGAACTATCATTTGAAGATAGCCGCGCGTTACTGACTCGTCTTACTGGACTTCAGCCCTGGCTACTCGAAGCGTTCCCAGACGAGCTTCCTCCCTTGCCGCTGTCAAGGCCAAGCTCACCGACTAGGTCGCCAGAGGTAGTCAGTCCAGTAGCAAGCTTGGCCAAGCGTCGCATGTCCTCGACTGCAGTGCCGCTACGCTTCCGCAAACCTTCTGGCCCCCCTGCGGTTCATCGTGACCTTCATGCTGAACCCAAGTCGGTAACAAGTCCTCTCTCTGAGCCATCTCCAAGTCGTTCTCGCCATTCCAGGTCACATTCTACAGAGTTCAAGTCTTCGCGTGAATTCCGACCACTGTATCTTGTAGAACGTAACCGCAAACCCGATGAGATTGATGAAGTGCTACCACCTCTCCCGCCAAGTACCGCTTCTTCAGTGGTGTCTGGTGCTGAGTCAGATGGAGAGTATGAGTCTGCCTTGGAATCACCCCACGAGCGTGCTGGGCTTTTGTCCAACCACCCATATTTTGATTCTTTGGGTACCATACCAGATCTTGGCCCACCTGCACGCGGCCCAGAACTTCAACACCCAGAACTTGCAGCCCGTGAGATTGAAGAAGTACAAGAGTCTGGACAAGCAACTCCCAAGGCCTCTGATTACTTTGCAGGCGAACCGTCCGAAAAGGAGCACTCTGGTGGCCCAAACTATGAGTCTCTCGCTGCAGCGCTTGAGGAGGCCAAGGCACAGAAGCAGGATGAGTCCACTGATGATGCTTTCATGTCAACAGTGACTTCCCCAGAATTCGCAACGCCGCTTGAGCAAAGCGCTCCTCTTGACGATAGAATGATGCGTGATTTTTCTACCAGCCGCGGTGAGCCTTCGTCTTCGACTTCATCCAGACTCCAGGACGCTGCTCTTGGCGCAGCTGTGGCCGGGGTTGCCGCTGCAGCAATCAAAGACCACTTTGCCTCACTCAGAGGGAGGAAGTCCAATGATGTGGCTGAAAAGGTTCAAACAGTTGCCCAAGGCAAGCAGCCTGAATCCCAATCTAGTCGAGAAGCTGCAGACGAGCCGGATGTCAAGGGCAAAGGCAAGCAGAAGCAGGGAAAGTACGCCAAAAGGGGATCTATTGCAGAGTCTACAGTTTCTACTCTAGTTGACTCAGGAAACTCACAGTACACGCCATCGTTCATCGACAACGAGGATGATTGGAACAGGGATCCCTCTGAGTCTGTTGTGACAGACAATGCTACGCTTATCGGTGAACCTTCTACTAGCTCGTTCGACGACAAGGAGCGATTTCGACAAAAGATTCTGGACAGCACCGCGCCGCAGCAAGACCAAGATCCAGAGATCAGGCGTGCGACTTTCGACGAGCCTCAAGTCGCCGCATTGAAGGAGATTGAGCCTTTTGAGAAGCCAAATCTGCAGCAGGACGTGTCCAGTGAAGTTGCTCCTGATACTCCCAAGACTCCGCTGGCGAATCGCGAACTTGTCGCCGCTGATGTTGCAGTTCCCGAGCCGATTGTTGAAGAAGATGCCGCAGCCATCACCCCAAAGCCTAAGAAGACAAGGAAGGAAAAGAAGAGCAAGAAAGGTAAGCGCGGTAGCCAACAAGTTGTCGAGCCCGAGTCTGAGCCATCTTCTCTACCCGGAACTCCTGTTCAAGAGGAAGAGAAGAGCTTGACATCGTCGCAGCGGCCAAGGGATGTGATTGAACGGGAGATTCTACAACCTGCTTTCGAAAATGTTGACACGCCAGAAAAGTCTGAATCACCGGATGTCCCAGCTCAGCCCAAAGTCGAAGAGAAAGAGCCATCCCTACCCGAAGCAATAGTTCAAACAGAGAACATTGTAGCCCCTCCAGAGCCCCAGCACGACACAATTGAACGCGAAACTGCCCAATCCACTTTCGAGGATGTTGACCCAAAGGAAAAGCCTACTATATCGGAGACCACCACTCCAGCGCCCCTTGACAACGAACCCAAGCCTGAGGTTCCACTGAAGCCTCTCGGCCGCCCAGCTCAACCACAAGTCCAAGAGCGACCCAGTACTGCCGAGACAACCGAAACACCAAAGGCATTCGTAGAGGAGTCTCGTCGCGCCTCTACAATCGAAGGCCATTCATCGGCATCAAACTCTGGCTGGGGATCCAGTCTATGGGGTAAGATTGGCTGGGGCGGCAGCAAGAAAAAGGCTCCAGCTTCACTTGCATCTTCTTCGCCTCCTTCGTCGCCGAAACCGCAATCATCAGTTCTCGCTGCCCTGGCTGCTGCGAGGGAGGAAAAGAGGCGCAAATCGTCAGGCCCTCTTTCGCCAACTGTGCCGGTGGGCGAGAAGAAGGCGGTCGAGATTGCACCGGAAGCGGATGTCGAGGATGTCCAGGGTAAGATGGAGGGGGTTGAGGACGTTTTGCCACCCGTTGCGGCCCCTTCTGCAGCTGATGAGAAGTCTGAGCCTGTTGTCTCCGAGAAGACAGAAACGATTGCGAAGGAAGAACCTGCTGCCCCTGTGTTCGTTCCGCCACAGACCAGCTTCTTCACTGATAGTGGGAAGCCAGCATTCAGTTTCCCGACGACGGTGGCGAGAGCTACGGAAGAGAGAACTACGTCTGATCAAGATAGTACGCTTCAAGAGCAGAAAGCGGAAATCAAGGAGGATGTCCCTGCTCCAGCCACCGAGGAGAAGACTCAAGAGCCCCCTGTATTCGTCCCACCGCAGAATGCCTTTTTCACTGATGACGGGAAGCCCTCTTTCTCGCTCCCTCCATCACCTGCTAAGCCCAGCGAGCGTAGCATCTTGACTGAACCTGCAGCTGAAGCTCCCTCTGAAGAACCAGTCTCACGCGAATCTCTACCCGCAGAGAGCGAGAAGAAGGTCAAGAAAACCAAGAAGAGCAAGAAGGCAGAGCAAGAGGCTAAGGAGGCTGAAACATCGTCCATTGTTGAAGCCCCTACGCCTACCACGGAACGGTCACTAGAAATTCCTGTCAGCGAACCCGCTCCCGAGCCTTCCGTCAACGTGATCCCAGCTGTTGATGAGCCAAAACCGACTACTGAAACTCTCACCTCGGAACTCCCATCGAATTTGCCTGTCGAAGAAGCCCCCACGAAAGATCAGGATGCAGTAGTTTCAGAGCCCGCGAAGCCATCTTCTGTCCCTGAATTGCCAGTCAAGACGAAGAAGGAGAAGAAGAGCAAGAAAGGCAAGAAGAGCGGTGTTTCGACACCTGCACTCGAAGCTGAACCTTCTACCGTTATCCCTTCTGAGATCGCCGAGGTGTCTCGCGATGCACAACTCTCAACTACTGAAGTGCAACTCCCAGGACCTTCAGAGATAGATGCAGCCAGCGTCCCTCTTCCAGCGCAGGAGGTGGATGACGACCTCACTCTACCACTGGAGACGCAAATGGACAGGGTCGTCCCTGAGGTTACGGAGGTGGATCCCGTCAGTATCCCTCTTCCCGAACAACAAGCGGACGAGGAACTCGTCGAGCCGCCTCAGACACAGACAAGTGAAGTCACTCTGCCCGCTCAAGAACCGCAACCCGAGACAGCACCCGCCGAAGCAGTCGTCGTCGAGACTGAACCCGTCGCTACCCCAAAGGCCAAGAAGAGCAAGAAGAACAAGCGCAAAAGCGGTCTAATCACACCTCAGCTTGAGACTGATGTCGTACCTGATTCTGTCATCCCTGCAGTCGAGCCTTCCGCACCAATTGCCGAGCCCGTCGAAAGCATTAAGATTGGCCAATCTCGTGATATCGAAGAGCGCGTGCCGGATGTGATCAAGCCATCTCAAGAGGACAAGAGCCTTGATGCTGCGGTTATTCCTTTGCCCGAGGATAAAGCTGATGATGAGCTTTATGCGCCTTTGGAAGAGCGGGAGGTTCGTGCTGATGATGCTGTTCCTGTCGATTCAACTAAAACCGAGCGTGACGTTCCTTCCACTGAACAAAAAGCGGAGCAATTCATCCCAGAGCAGTCTATCGACAACACAGTATCCGTGCGAGATGTACCAAGCCAGGACGTTCAGCCATTGCCCGTTCACATCGATGCTCCGGCTACAACTGAGCTCGTCTCCAAGCCTTCACAGCAGGCCGCCTCAGTACCAGAAGAACCTTCTACGCCTTCGAAGAAGTCCAAGAAGAAGAAGAGCAAGAAGAGCAAAGCCGAAGAAGATGTGCCTGCCACGCCTACTGTTGAAGCAACTCGCGAGCTCGAGCCTATCACCGAACCCGCACACGTTGAGCCTGCTTTCGAAGTCATCTCAGAACCCGTTGTCTCTGATACTCAAGAGCCATTCGCCACAACGACAGCACCAGCCGAGACCGTCATTGAGGAGCCAGTCTTTGGCCCCGTCAGACCCAACGAGGAGCCTGCACAACCTGCCACACCACTGGAAGAAGAACCCGCAACGCCATCGAAGAAATCTAAGAAGAAGAAGAAGAGCGCCAAGAAAGACAAGTCTGTTGATTTAGGATCTTCCCTTACTGAGGAAGTATCTGATTTCAAGACTGAACCTCAGACTTCTATCGAAGCTGCTCGAGATACGCCGGTTGTTGATGTCCAGCTAGTTCAAGATACCACGGCTCAAAAGGAGGCATTGTCTGCCGAGATCGAGGCTATTACACCTACCGCCGAGCTAGTAGCTCTTCCTAAGACCGACGATAAAGATTTGGATGAACCTACGAGGGAAGAGAAGGTCGAGGC